GAAACTTCCCTGATCAAGTTTTTTTGAATTTTTTTCATCAAAAATCGATAGGGGCACATCACTAGACGCAGCTTTTCATGCTGATCACGAATCTGACTTTTGTTTTGAAGAAAAATTAATTTTCAATATTAAAATTTTAATTTCAGTTTTCTGACCTAGACATTTTGTTCGAAAAAGTTTAAAAAACATACCATTGAACAGAGAATTCAGCTCTGTACAAAATGGCTCATTTTGTTTTGAGACTTATTTTTCAGTCGAGATACAATGGCTGCTTGAACGTTTCAACTACCACTTGGTCTGAAAGCCTCAGAGAATTTTTCGAACTTTATTTTTAACTGGAGTCTTTTCAGGAAATTTAGAACTACACCGACTACAAGTATGAAGTATTTTGAAAAACGTCTAGTGCCTAAAAATGGTGCTACAAAAAAGTGTGTCACGCCGTTACGTAGTTGTTAACTCGTAGTCTATTCAATCATTATGTCATATTCAGAACTATTAGATGTTCCAAGAGACGACAGTGGGACACAACTGGATCCTATTGCACCAGGAAACAATGGTTCAATCGTAGCTTCTGTTGCATTAGCAGATCGTTGTATACAGCACAGCAGATTCCAAAGTCTATCAGTTGTTCAGATCTTTTTTCAAATTTTTTCTAGCTTGTATGGTCCACGAGAAAAATCAAAAATAAAGATAGCGCGCAATTTTTCGAGCCATTCTAGGTTATTTGTACCCAAACACGTTAGTATTTAATACGCAAACACGGCTGCCAGGCTTCCTTAAGTTTCCTATTAAAATATCTTGCAGAGCTTTTCAAGGCGCATCGAATGATGTATGAATAATTAGAGATCTTTAGTTTCATAGAGAAAAGTGACCGACGGTTCGAGTAGCATAGCGGCGACCTAGGAAAAAATCTAGTATTGGCCGTAATAATGTCGAAAGGGAAAATATTGAAGATAAAAATGTCGAAGGGGACCAATGTCGAAGGTAGAAATGTCGAAGGAGATATATCGAAGCGTAATAATACCGAAATGAAAAAATGTCGAGAGAAGAAAGAAAATTCCACACATCTTTGATTTTTGGTGTAATACTTTTTTTAACATAATTAACATAATAAATATGACAATAAACAACTTTTTTTAACAGAAAACAATAAGAAATGAAATTTCTAACAATGTCAGGAAAACAACAATAAGCTACACAAGCTCAGAGTCTTACGTTTACTAGTGACTACGCTTTTTTCAATATTTTTCCTTTTCGACATTGTTCCTCTTCGACATTTTTCCCTTCAATATTTGTCTTTTCGATATTTCTACGGCACACCGTTTTTTCTTGGATACAATTTCATATCTTTCAAAAAACAGGTTTTCACTTAAATTGGATTTACGAAAACTAATGTTAATCGTTGACGATTCGACCGAATCGATGTTAACAGTTCCTGTTAAAAAATCAGAGGCACCAAATGACTCTTTGAGTTTCAATATTATCGACCAAATTTTCTCTTTTAATTTTCTAATTTGGAGACTTCTGAGTCTGTGTAAGAGAGATCCTTTCAATCATGAAGAAACAGGACAAGCTGATATGTAATCATGCAACTCTAAATCTATCAGCAATGTTTATGTATTTATATGACATAAAGAAGATTAATTGTAGTCAACTGTGTATTTCCACCTTCTAATATTAGCTAGTTTCTAATTCTAATTTGAACTAATAAAGGCACAGATATTTAGAGAACGAAGTCATAATTATAATTATTGCTGTTGGAAAATATCAAATTGTCTTCGTATAAGAAACATGTCGTGATAATGTTCTAATTGAAACATAAAATATTTTTTACTTACTTAAATTTGAATGATTATTTAGCCTTTTAAGCATACATTAGTAGAACTCACTTTGGTTCTTGTTTTAACCATTTTTATTTAAATAGAAGCATCGCCAATCAGATATTTACCGATTATAGGTTTTGCAGAAAAATGAAAATGAGAAAACAAAAATAGTAATTGTTTCTTACTCTGTTTCTTACTTTAATGAAAGTAAAATAAAGGCAAAAAATGGTATCATTTCTTTCTACCCAACACATTTCTAAATAGATTTTCTTTATTTATTCAAACAAATAGAGCACAAACAATATTTTCAGTAATTTTTTACCTTCTTAGAGTACTTTGAGGTAATCAGAGACAGAGTTTGAAATTTTCGTCGTTTTTTTGCTATTTCTTGGCCGTTTTTGGTCGGAAAAACTTACTACTGAACAAGGTGGTAGACCAAACATTTTTCTACACGTTCCTGTAAAAATCTTTTACAAAAAATTAAGATATTTTTAGAGAATTTTTTAATATTTTTTCAGTAGAGTTTCAATCGAGAAAAAACAAAATCATTTCTTATTTTATCCCAAAGTTGAATCAATTGTTAGAAACATTGGCAGATGATGCCTGAACGCATGAAGATGATACTGGCATCTTTTGTACACATGTTATTCATTATTTCTCTTCTTTTTAAGGTATGCCTAGCATACCTACGTTTCTCAATATCTTCTTTTTTATATTTCATTATTACAATTATTATAATTCTTTTAAAAACCAAAAACAGACACATCTATTAAACAAACGTGAAACATTTTTTTTTTTTTATCGAAAAAACACAAAAACTAAACGTATCAAAGATACACAGATACGAAGAAGAAGAATCTGTTCTTTTTTATTTTGTCATAGAAAGAAAAGCACATACAAAAAAAGAATATACAAAACACTGCACAAATAATCATTTTATTTCATCTTAGTTATATACACCTTGGATATGTGTGTTGCCAAACACAAGGATTAATATCACGATTCATTTCAAATCACACTTCACTAAAATAATGAAATAATATGCAACATTTTGATTATGAAGATGATGTGACTCATTTGTCAACGATGTGCTCAGAGACTGAGATATAATCTCACTTCACAGAATTTTCAACTGGATTATTTTATTCACTCCATATATGCTAGATGTGATAAACGTCTACAAAAGCTTATTATTATAAACTGTATAATAATATAGTTTCATAACGAAAGTATGTTCCTTTTTCTCAAAAGCTATATCGACTGTCATTTTGTACGTAATAAAATTATTTAATTTTTTATGCTCTTTTATTTTACCAAATTTTCTTAGTCTCATAAAAATATATAGTTATTACTTACGTTGCATCTAACGTTGTATTTAATAATAAATGAGATCTAATATCTAATAGCTTTCGTGGTGAAATTGTTTCTTTTCTATATTCAATAAAATTAGCTGAATGTGATGATGATGGTTGACTGCTATTATCAAATATTGAAGAACGTTGATGTGATGGATGTCTATCACCGGTTACATTCGTTGACGGTGGTAGACTACTCGTACTACTGTTATTTATCATTTTATAATTATTATCTTCATTAGTCTTGTTGGTGGTGGATACTGTATCAGAAACAACTGTAGAAATATCTGACTGTTCAATATTTTTCACCGAGTTCTCATTTGTAATAGTGTTTGTAGAATAGTTCGATTTAATACGGGCTATCATCGTTGAGTCATCATCGGTATCATATTCTGAACTACCGTTAATATTTGTGTCTCTTGCCTCATCGAATAATTCCACTGTAGCAATAACAGCATCGTCATCTTCATTTTGTTGTGTATCTTCATCTTCGTCATCATCGTCATGATTGTCATCGAGTGACAAAGAAATAAAATCATTGTCATCTACGCGTAATGCATCATTCATCAGAACAATTTCATTTTGATCACCTAATACTAAATCATCTAAACTTTTAAATTGTAATGATTCTGTATCATCTGAAGATGGAGTATCTGACAAGATCGATGATTGTCTACTTGAAAGTGGCGTAGATGATTGCTAAAGAAAGAAATATATAATTTTGTAAATAAAAAAAAAGAATGAGAAAATGAATGAGACATACTGTTATTGTTTCTTCAATTGTTTCTTTAACAGGTGATGAGGAAATCAATCTTAAATTTGGTTTACATAATTTTGTCATTTGTGGTGTCTGAGTACGGATAAAACGATTGTTATGTGATGGAATTTGACACACTGTAGCTGATGATGGTCTCATCTGGACTTTTTTTATTGATGAATAATCTTTTCGATAATAAGCATCACTATTACATCGATGATGATTATCATAGTCACTTTCATTGCCGCTACTACCAATACATGTATAATCATTTATCACATTAACAGTGTCGAGTGATGGTTGTTGTATTTTTGACGGTGGTGACTTACGACTATTTCCCATATCTTCGTATATTTTACATACGCCGGTATTATTCGTTACTGGACGAGATCGCCATTTTTTAACACTTTGAAATGGACTACGAATTAATGATGTTTCAGTTAATGGTGCACTTTTTGTATTGTTATTGCTCGTCCGAATAGTTGTCAAAGTGGAAGACGGTAAACTAGAGAAACATGTAGAATTAGGCGATTGTTGGTCAGATGATGATGACAAAACGTTTTTGGTAGGTAATAATTGCGTTTCACTATGATAAACTTTACTTTTTCGTTGTTGCTGTTGATCATCATTGTTTGTAGAAGTCGTCGATGACGGATACTGATGATCTATAAAAGAAAATAAAGAATATGAAAAAACAATCCAAATGTCTTTGGCACGGTACATTGCTTTAGACTGAAAAGGTCATCCTTTCTATGACATAGAAAATAGTACACGTTAAAGGGTGCCCCTGTCCTCATTTTGAGCTTCCAGTATCCAATTTTATTACTCGTAAAGTATAAGAAACAATTACTTGTTATTTTCTGAGGCTATGTAAAAGACTTTTATGCATCTTTTAAGGCCATCGCGAACTTTTCCGTCATCTTGGTTTAGAAGTACTTTAAAAATCTCATTTTTCAACGGAACTTGCTTATCCATCTCCTCCCGAACCTTCATTCGAATAGGCTAAAACTTTTATCGTAGGTAGCTGGTCAAGTGCCTCAGAAGTTTTATTTTTTTTTGAAAAATATTGTTTCATACAAAAAGTTCTAGCAAAAATATGCAAAAACTCTTTTAAAATCTTGATTTTCGATTTTAAAAAGTCTGTATCACCACCCAAAAGTACTTTTTCTCAAAAAAAACTAACCTCTTAAGAAAGTTCTGAAGTAACTGTGTAAAACATTTTAGTCCGATCGGATGAATCTTCAGGGAACGTAAACAAAATCCATTGAGTGCACTAGCAAAAAGGCAATATTCTGAATCAGAAACGTAACGTTACAACGCGAAACTCACTTTTTTTGAGGCCTTTCATCAAAATGATCATAACTCTATGCGAAAACATGATATACAGCTGGATAACATCTCGTTTTGTTCAGAACTCTTCACTCCACAATACTGACTATTTGAAAAAACTTTCAAGTGCTGGAATAAACAAAAAAAGTTTCGAAGATTAAAAGACAAAATTTTTTTAGAGTAAAGTGGCAAACTTCAAAAAATTCGGATCATCTCGAGAACATGTCACTCTATCACATGCACCATGTTTATCTCAAAACTGAAAAGATTTTTGAAAATGAGGTCAGTGTACTCTTAATAATAACCTAATGAGAAGAGCTAAGTTATGAACTATACCTGTGATGACATTGTTACTCGACAATGTTGTTGCTGTACTGTTAAAGCTAAGTGTTGAACTTGACGAGGATAAACGATTTGATGAATCATTATCATTATTATTATTACTGTTGTTTATATTAATATCTTCTGATACACTACTATTGACAAGTGATGAATGTTTATCAATATAATCATCTTCTTCATGTTGCTGTTGTTCATCATCTTGTTCTTGACTATTATTTCTCTCTTTCTGTTCACTTTCATCAATCATATCATCAGCAGAAAATAGAAATGAACCATTTGAACTTACACCACTTGTTGAACTTTGTACACTTCGAAATGAATTTGTTGAACTTAAAAATGTTTGTGAATCATTTACCGTTGAATTATGTTGATTTTTTAGAATAGATGGTGATCCATTATTCCATGACATTCGTTTACGAATGGATGAATGTTGTTTTTGAATGGGTATTGTAAGTTTTGTTGGTTGATTGTCACTATTATTATTATCATGTGTTTCATCTTTTTGATAAATTTCATCGGCTGTATGATATCTTCCTTTACAATTATTTCGTCTATCACCACGAGAATTACGTCGTGTTTGTTGTTGTAACGATGGTTTTGATTCATCCGATGATTGTTGTTGTTGCTGTTCTAATAAATCTAAATTTAATGATGTAGATGTACTGGTAGAATTTGGATTAACTTCTGATAATGGTGGTGTAGCACGTTTTGATTTTGGTGAATAATCGGTTGTAGAACTATCCATTGATAAACCACCTAATTTTAAAATAGTGGATGAACGTGATTCATCTAACGATGTCTGCGATGAAAAATTACTTAAACTGGGTAAAGTAGATGTCGATAGAGATGGTAATAAGGAAGAAGCATTTGTGTTTGTTACTGTTAGAGGATTTATGTCTGTTACAAAATTTTGATGACTAGTATTAGTGGTATTAGTTGGTATTGATGAAAGATGAGCATGTTGAAGTTTCATTTTAGATTCATCGAGTAATATTTGAAAACGATTTTTAGTTGTTCGAATATTTTCAATCCATTGTTTACTTAAATTTGTTTGAAATAAATAGCCGCCTTCAATTAGATTATATTCACTGAAGACAATGGCAATAAAATAAGGAGCTAAAATTTATAAAAAGAACACATAATAACAACTAAACAATTATTAAATTATATCATTTTACCATTTGGTTCTCGTGTAACATATTCTTTAACATCGATTCGATCAATACGAATTGGTGGTTTTAATATTTTATTATTTGAATATCTTTGATCGCCTTTTTTACCTCCTTTAGTAATTAAAAACATATCCGTAAATAAATAACAGTAAACATCTTGACGATCTTTGGAATCTTTCATTTTCATTGGACCTTGTTGAATTATCGAACGTTTATAACCACGAACAAATAGAGGCATATCACGTAATAAATCCAATCGATTTGATGTATCACGATAATATTCTTGTAACACCTATAGAAAAATAATATTATAAAATTGTTCACAATTAAGAATAAAAATTAAAAATGATTTTTTAAAACATACCGGTAATATTTCTGGAGGAGCTGATACACTATCAAATTGACCAATTCTTTCACTTATCTGACGTAAACGTTCTTCTTGTTCTTGATTATTTAATTTTGTATTGACTCTATTTACATATGTTTCAACTTTTTGGATCTAAATATAGTTTTTAAAACAAAAAATCAATTAGAAAAAAGATCTTATTATGATGTGGACAAAATAATTAAGAATTACCATATCTTGTAAATCCATTCGTTGTTGATGATCACTCGTTTTTCGTTGTATAGCTTCAAGTAAAAGTTTATATTTTGTTAATCGTTGTAATGGTTTTATTGTTAAATCTGGAAATGATAATCGTGATGTAAAATTTGATTCAATCCACTGAAATGAAGAGAAAAAAAAAAGAAGTTATTGTACACAGTTGAAACAAAAATTATTATAGTAGACACAAATAACTTACAGAAATTAATTGTTGAAATAATTCATCTTTCAATAATTTTTGTTTAAAATATTCAGAACATATTTTTTGATTGAGAACATAGTTTAAATACGGTTTAAATACATGATCAAACTAAATAAATCGAAAAATATTATTATTATTATTATGTGTCATTGTTAGATTCTTATATGAAGCTAAGAATTAACTTTTGTAATAATTAAAACTAGCACAAGTCGAGAGTATAGATAGCAGTATAAATTTAATAGTCTTTTTGCACAGATCTGTATCAGTTAAAGTGATATGACAATTAACTGATTTAATCTAGTCATCCTAAAGTGATCTGGACAAACATTCATTTCAAAAATCGGTGTTTCTGCAGTTTTTTTGAATAATTTTTGAACGAAATCAGATCAGAGAGGTATAGTTTTCAGTTCCTGAAAGTAGACACTTGGCAGTGTGATCGCATGATTTATATTCCAATGATTTATATTGGTCTATTCCGATTAGGCTACAAATCCTGATAGGGATATTCTGCATACCCTGATCGATTTATAAAAATAATGAATGGTTTTTTGGAAGCCCCTTTTATATTTTTAACAGAAAAACGGGTATTGCCATTGGAAGGAGGATTCAAAACTGATTCAGATTTCATGAAGGTTGGTTCGATGCATTTTTTAGGATACTATCTAAAAATCGCTATATTCTTATCGGGGTAGAACATAAATTCGGCATGGATTGTTTCTGATTTTTTTAAAATACTTTCGTTTTGAGAAAAAATGAAAGCTGATCACTTGAATCCAAAGTCACCATTGGATGAGCGTAGAGATGAGTGCGGGTACTGTTTTCGTACTCGACTGCAAAAAAAATTTCCACCCGGTACCCGACCCGACAACTTTGTATCCGTACCCGACTTAGGCCTAAAAATTTTCGTCATTTTATTTTCCAACTAAAAACTTTGTTTTTCGGCTGGAGATGTCAAATTATCATTATGTTCTCAAGTAATTCTTTTTTAAAACTTCATGTATTTTAGCTAAAATCCTGTACTTCTTCACTGAAATTTTGTAGGTTTTCCACTAGAACTTTCTGGTTTTCAGGTAAATTAAAAAAAAACGGAACTCGTACTCAGCCTTACCGTCGGGCCGGGTACGGATCGAGTGGCACATCTCCAGATAAGGGATGTCAGAGTTCCTACATTTCAGACATTTTACGTAAATTTCACAAATTTCCATTTCCCAGTGATCGAGACATCGTAATACATTTCCCTCGCATTCTAGGAAATGTGTGGACTTCTGTGTGATTACTATTTCAGGTGAGAGACGAGCTGGAATTTTACTATTTTTATCATATTTGGTTTTGGATCGAAATATGTCTCGTAACATCCCTGATTCAAACTGTAGATTCAAACTCAAAATACTAAAGACAATAGATGGTCAGCCAAAGAAAAGTATGCAAGATCTCATCAAAATTTTATACAGAAATCCAAAATCTGACAAACTTTGTTGCAAAAAATTGTCGAATACATGATCCACCAGCTTAGTTAAAGATCTTGCACGATTTAACGAAAACTGTCTCAGATTTTTTGAAGATCTTAAAATACTTTCAGAAATTTTTGTTTTGTTCTAGAATTGTGGCATGTAGTTTTTGGCTAGAGAATATAAATAGGTCAAAGTAAAAAATAAATCAAACATATCAATATTTGTGACATATAAAAAAATATAAAATTTGTAAGCAAATGGAGACTAGTGGACAAGTAGAAGACGAGGATATTGTAGTATGCATATGTACTTGTTTAGTTATGAAAAAACTCTGAGATTCCTGAAAACATTGTATCACTATTGAATAAATAATAAAAAAACTTTCATTACACACTCAAAAATAAACTAAATATATATCACTGAAGAATTTATAATTATTTCAGTCAATATTAATCCATTGAATTGAACTCATTGACATATGGCTAAATACATGTCAACTCCTTTTAATGTATACCGAATATACGATATAAACAGAAATACTAATTTTTTTTTTATAGAAACACTCTTGTTGTCATTTTTGACTTTTTGTGATAACGCATCAAGAACTTTTTTCGATCAAAACAATACGATAATAACCATAATAATGGCAGTTGAAAAGAAAATTCTTTTCTTTGTCGATTATACCGTCTGACATACAAATCAGTCTATACTAACATTTATTCGGAATAAATACGCATCAAAATCGGGAAAAAATGCAACGTAATTGATCGTATTTTCTATTTACAGCTTACAGACGGTGTACATTCAGTTCATACTAACTATATATAATATATTTTTTTGAAATTAATGAGCTTTTAGAAAAATTCTTATGTTGTTGTGGTAATTTGTTTCATTCTAGCACGAAATGAGGAAATAAGAAAAAATTAAAATTTTTTCGCGTTTTGAACATCTATGTAAGCTTTCTGATATTTAAGATCGTAGAGTACGAGCTCGTACTCTATGATCTCAAATATGTGGTATTAATCGCTTAAAAATCGGCGACTTTTACATGACTTAGCGTTCGATTGTTGCGATATTTTGTCGCGATTAGTCGACGATACTTTTGCGACTTTTTAGCAGCAACTTTCGGCGATTAGTTGCGAATAATCGAACGATTTTTTTTTTACAGAAAGAAGACACTAGGATCGAATCCGCCTATGAGAAATTTCTTATTTTATTTTTTTTCCTTATTTTGCACTTTAACGACTACTCGGACCCTCTTCATCCGATTAATCAGTTGGAGACAGTCTGCTCAGACCTTCATTTGTTCATCGGCTCTTCGAGGCAAAAGCTGACCCTCGTTGAAAGAACGAGTCAGCTCTGAGGATATCACGAAGGACACTCTAGACGCGCCTTCCAAAAAAATTTATCTAAAAGAAAAGATTAAACCGAAAAAAAGAGGCAATTGCCGTCAAAATGCATGTTTATTATATACTTGATCAGCTGCAAAATAAAACGGTGAACGACTAGAAAACCCAAAATCGGCAACTAATCGCGATTCGTCAGCGATGTTTTGAGAAATCGCGACTTTCAAAATAATGAACGCTTAATCGCGATATACAAAACAGTCGCCGACATGGTGCGATTAAACGGCAGCTTTTCAGAAAAGCGCGATAATCGCCGATTTGTAAACAACATTGAAGACATGGGAGGTTTTGTCGCTGTTAGATGTTCATTCATCTTGTAAATAATGTGTACTAGAAACATAAGTTTATTGTGGGTAATTTTACGAAAAATCTATGTATTTGAACAGATTTTGTGACACCGTTAGTGACAGATGAATTTCTCTCATTTTTTGTTGATATTAGCTTTATTTTGTCAGAATACAAGCGGAAAAATATTCCATTATAGTATTCTAAACTAAAACTATCGAAGAATATAAAATCAATTCAATTCATTTTTTTGTTGAAAATAAAAGTTAGTTTCATCGAAAGAAATTAGAATTTTTTCTTTTAAATTTGTATTTTGCATATTGATGCACTTATTTTTTTTAGAGAGAAATGCTTGCTATTTTAATGTCCTTTCATCATCACTTTGTTATATTTTTAATATAGATAACAATAACTTTCATCAATATCATTATTATCATAATGTGCGTGTGTGTGTGTGTCTACACGACAAATTTTGTTTTTTCAAAGAGCAAAAAGTGTGTATGACCGATTTCGATTCATATCAATTAATTATAAAAGGAGGACTTTTTATTACTCGCCGATAGTTTGCACATGTCATAGATATACAATGTGCTCCTATTGTTGTTTTTTATCTAGATTGCAATAAATATAGTCAAGGTCAATAACGACAGTTATTGTTTTTTCTATTTAAAACCCTATTGTATGACACGTAGAACATAACAACTACGCATTGATTCTGTCAGCAGTATATTTGTATCATATCTCAAACATTTATCGAAAAACATAATAAATATCTCGGATAAAGTCATATCTTTGCATGTATTCTCAAGATACGTTTTAGAAACAAAAGAGTTGAAAACTTGGATATTTATAATTACCTTTATAAATCCGGTTTTTAAATCCGATGGATTCATACATGTTCCAATTTGTTCTAATTTTCGTTTTATTGGTAATAAATATTGTTTCCAAAATTGTATATTTGCATTTAAAACATCCTGAATATTACAAAATAATTTATCAATTTGTATATCTTGTAATAATCCATCACGATTAGACATTTTTAAACACCATACACAGCTCATAAAAACCTTTAAGGAATAAAACAAATAATAAATTAGTTTTTTAAAGAGCAAGTTTAATTTTAACTTACATCCGTCACTAACTGTATTTTCCTTATATAGGATACTTCTGTACACAACAATTCCCAAATGGCTTCTTGTTGAAGTTTGATAGACTCGGACATTTGCTAAAAATTAAAAGTAAACGTTTATTTATAACGCTATTTAGAGGATTATAGTGAGCATTTAAGCGGATATTTAGACAGAGAACTTCTTTTACTTTCGAATAGTGAATCATAAACTTTCATATTGTGACCATCGTTTCTTATTAAAATAAACTTTTTACCTTTATTAATAAAGTTGAGAACACGTATAGTAGAAGGCTAAATCACTTCTTAAAATTAACAGTTTTGCATTCTGTCGCGACATAAAGGCCATATTACACACTGTAGACAATTTCAGAAATCAATCTACAGTCATCTGTTTACTCAGTAAAATATTTTCTCATTAGTCCTAGAGGTTTAGAAGGAAATCAGACGAAAAAATCTGATCAAAACCAGGTTGTCAGTATGCTGAATGCCCACACATTAGCTCATTTACTATGCGACTCAAACTTTGGTTCAAATATTCTTTCTATACGATATCTACTTAGTATTCAGCTTGGCCACGTAACTCTGGTACCGTAGAATGATTCCGTCACAGTTTTTCTGTATTTTGTTTCTCTTATAGTTTTTGAACAGAAATACTTTTAGAACTCTGAAATATTCTACATCGAAGATAAAAGTGTACCCAATAGTTTGAGATGTTCCCACACTCTACACATTCCTGTGTTTAGGAGATATTGCAAAAATAGAAACAACCAGTTTTTCGGATAAGTTTCGGAAAGTAGTAGTTTGTATTTTTGCAATATTTTCTTAACAAAAGAACGTGTAGAGTGTGGGAACATCTTAAACTATTGGGTACACTTTTATCTTCGATGTAGAATATTTCAGAGTTCTGAAAGTATTTCTGTTCAAAAACTATAAGAGAAACAAAATACAGAAAAACTGTGACGGAATCATACTGCGGTAGCAGAATTACATTACGGTAGCAGCCGTACAATGATTCCTGGACCTTGCACCATAATTTCCAAATACTGATAATGTTTTTTTATATAAAATCTATTTTTTTTCAATCTTTTACACTTTTTAATTTAAAAAAGTATCATATACGGAAACATTGCGTCAGACTGCATCGAATGATCAACAAACAGAAGCATATTAAACTAGAAAACAATTCATTGCACACATCTAGCTGTTATTTTAAGTATATATATATATGAACAGATTTTAAACTGAGTAGGAGTCTTCGGATTGCTGACAGGAAAGACTCTCGGGATAGTTTGTATTATGCAAGAAAGTAGTTGACTATATAATTTTTTACAAGATGTTATTCTGTAGGACAAGAATGCTGAGTCGGGATAATTCTCACACTTTTGTACACTGTACTTTGAGGACAATATCTTTCGTATCATTGAAAGAATAGTTTGTCTTGAAGTTGATTGATGACGTTTCTTTAAAATATGCTCGTTAGTACAAGGAAAAGGAGGAACAATATCTTTCGTCAAATGGTTATTGTCTCTCTGTCTGCCTCCATAGAAAAGAAATGATATATATATATAATTTTTTGATATACTTTGACAAGCTTTCGTTTCATTTTGTCAACAATATGAATGGATTCGGTTATTAATAAAAAATAGACCAGAAATTTGTTTTTTCGAAGCATATCCGGAAAAATAAATTAAAAGAAAAAAGAAAGTTTCCTGTTGTTTAATAATAAACTCAATATTTTATTTAAAAAATGAGAGCAGACTAACGCTGAGTATATCTATTGACATTAATATAAATAAATTAAGAGTAAATAATCATCATCTCATCCATAATAATAATAACAACAATACGCTGACGATAGAAAAAAAAGAAAAGAAAACTGTGTCGATTGTTTTTTACACTCCTTTTTTTTATATTCTTATAAATAAGGTGTTTAGAAAGACAATCCGTTAACAGATTTTTATAATATACATTAGGCACAATAGTTCAAGGATTAATTTGTTATCATTAGGCTAGATGAAGCGAAAATATAGTGGAAGAAAATATTAAAAGAACAATAAATGTTTCCTCATGCATGAAAATCGCACTTATATATCATTCGATTATAATATATAACAAGCTAAAATCTATTTTAATAAAATTTTCTTTTTAGAATGCTCTTGCAAGAAATGTCAACATATATGAAAGAATAAAATTTTAGAGAATTGTTAATTTCTATGGCGAACTACAAGTTCGAGTGAAATCAGTACACATCGAAACGACGACAAGCTCAAAATTTATTAAGTATGATAAAAAAAAAAAAATAGTATTTTAATGCAAGTTATTTCAAAACAAGTTATTTAATACTATTACCAATGACAACTATAGCAAACACAACCGGTAGAAAATGGAATAGTTTATTTTATGTTATCAGACCAAACTAAAAGCAAGAGACGGGAGTATGATAGCAAAACAGCGAATGTCAATCTTAAAACGCATTAGTATAAAAACCACATGATAAAAACAGCCATCATTTATAAGGATGTAATTTGTCTGGATAAATGTCATAGTTTACTTTTAAAAAGATTCTCTTATCAAAGATTACAAATTTTCTGACAGTCCTAATGGGTGATCCAGATTAAATTGCCGGACTTTGCAAAGTCTTTTTCTCAGACTAAGACTGATCAGAAAATTTCATCTGGATGCTAAAAGATAGAGAATTTTGTGTAGGTTTTAGTGACGTATACTTTTTTAAATAAATATTTGCTTTTATTCTACAGCATTAAAGATGCTGAAAGCCATATAAAGCAGAGTTGCTCAGTACTTTGTATAGGATAAAGTGTAATTTTTAGTATTCAAACAAGACATTAAAAACTCGAATAAAGTCTTAATATTTTAGATATAACATCAGATTTTGGGATGATGACTAATGATCATGAAAATCTGTTACAAAATATACCTCTTTATCGGGCTTTTAACGCCTTTCATTATATAAGTAAATATCGTAACTTCGTCATTTATTAACACAGACAGTAAACCCATGGGAAGAATAACATCTACTAGACTTTGAAATTCTGCATCTGCTCATAACAAAAAAATAATTTTTCTTCGCCAAATTTTGAAAAACGCAGTCAAAAATTTCATTAGCCGAAGATGTCTTTTAATGTTTTGAATATTAGAAAGCAGGAACAAATAAGTGTAGTTCGTGTGTTTGATTCTAGCTTCGTGCAAGGATTGATTTTGTGTTTTGATAGTTTAAGTTTCAGAATGATATAATGGAAATTTATATTCTCGATTTCAGTCTGATTAAAGCTTAAACCAAATAAGTGTATAGGAACAAAGATACCATCCGATACACCGAGAAATTGTGCATATTTTATTACTAAAATCGAATTTTTACACTTATCTAGATAAACAAAAAGTTGTTTTCAAAATTTTCTAATTCTTCAGCTGAGCAACTCTATATTTTTATGGCTTTCGGCGTTTCTAATGCTGTAGAAAAACAGCAAATATTTGTTTCAAAAGATATATACCACTAAAATCTACGCAAAATTCTCTACCTATTAACATCCAAACAAAAATTTTCTGATCAAGCTTAACCTGAGAAAAAAGCGTTGCAAAAGCCGACAATTTATTCTGGATCACTCGTTATACTAAGCATCACATTTATTCAATTATTTCAGTGATCTCTCATATAGCATACATAGCATTTAATGAATGTTAAAAGATGCATAAAACATGAAAATAAAATTCTGATACATACCGAACGCGCTTGCTCGGTCAAATAGGGTTGCCATTCTTTATTGATGGATAAATCTTTATCTGTATCAATACTTGTTTGAAACTGAGGAATTTTTGGTAAACCTGATTGTAACCATTCATCACATTTTCGTCGAAGATAATTTACATTCGTTTCGGGACGTTCATCGACATTAATATCCTATAAAAAATAAAATAAAATGAAAACACAAGAATCAATATGTCAGAGATTGTCAATTAAACATTTTATAAACATCATCAATTATAGAGAATGAACTTCCAGAAGGTGACAAATTTCTATGATACTTAAAACAAATTTTTATTCGATTGTGTATACTATTTCATGATTACATTAAAATATTATATATATAGAATATATCAATTAATGATACAATACAGCAGAAAGAATTACAAGTCTATCCTGTTCACTAGCATAATGATTTATTTTTACCGTTGCTACTGATTCACATTTCGTTACACCTAATCGTGGCGTTGATGGTGGTGTTGTCATTTTGATCTCACTAACAGATGATGATGTATTTTGACGAAGTAGTCTACTTGCAGCACGTTGCCATCGTTGTAATGTGATATTGTTACTACTACTACTACTTATTTGATTATTAGGTAATATTTTTATATTTTTATTTGATGTTGTTGGTATTATTTTTTGATCATTACACGATTCAAATGATTTTGATTCTAATAAAGTTGTTTTAGTTTGTCTGCCTAATACAGGTGAATTAGAAGACATGGCTTTTGATAATCGTCGAGTCGACATCATTAATTTTTATGAAAAACTGGATAAATTAATTTATAATATTTCTACTTCGGTTGACCTCGACCCCTCATTCTGAACAACTTTTTTTAAAGAGAAAACAAAAACATGAAATATGTGTTTCCCATATGGAATATTGAATTATCAAAAGACAAAAAGAAGAAGGGAGAAAAAAGAAAGAAAACGTGTGTACGAAACGAATCCAACGATGTCAATTGTACAATAAGAGAAAAGAAAGGGAAATGTGAGAGGATTACAGTATTATACACAGGCTCATAAGAAAAAATCATAAACTGTTTTTCTTCTTTTTTTTTTTTTGTTTTTCCGTTTATTTTTCTTTCTCTTAGCTCTCTCTCTCTCTACTCTTCGTTTTCCCGCTTTTGTTGTGATTATGAGATAGATAGTTATATATTAATTATTTAACACGATTAGAATTCGTTGTGTCTTATATTTTTTTGTTTTGTGTACGTATATATGCGTGTGTATGGACTCATAATCTCGCGTTTTCTCATAAGACCATTAATTGGAATGATGTTATGAAGACTAAGCAATAGGGAGAAAGAAAAGAAAAAAAAAAACAAATCAACTGATCGAATTACACCATTGAGTTGAATTGAATAGATAAAGAGGGGGGGGGAGGAGAAAAAGAAGTTATCACACACATTTACACGCACTCTCTTTTTCTAGTAATAGAGTCTAACTAAAATATATATAAATATATATATATATCAATAAAAAAATAATATAGTGGGCTTTTCATAGATGGAACAACAAAAGAGAGAAAAATTCCAAAGCTTTTAAATAATAAATGATGTATATGATCTAATGCATTTATTATGTAAAAAAAAGAGAAGAGAAAGAAAACAATTGTATTTCAGAATAGTGTGTGATGCTTTAGACAAATGTGTATTAAATTTTTTAATGTCCTTTATCACAAGTTCATTGGTATTTTTCAAGGTTGTTTAATTTCTTAAACGTCTATATGCTAATATTGCCAACATACACTTAACTAAACTTAAAATTATTTACACACTCATTTCGTGTATTAGAAGTATCGTTCACTATATTTTCTATAATACATACGAAAAGATCTATCCTTCAACTATAAAAAAATTATTTCTAATACCACTTATATTTCTGGGTAATGTAAAAGAGAATAGAAGAAAAAAACAGAAAAAATTGAATAGACACTCCATGTCATAGTTTGAATGATATTCGCTTCTTTTTTTTAATAATTAAGAGAATATACGAAACATGATAGGTGATAAATTCAAAAATTTGTGCAAAAGATATCTCATTTCGGTCAATCTTGAATATGTCATTGTATGTCATCTCGGTCTCGATAATTTATTGCTAAATTGATAAACAGACATATACTTATTGGATAAACTATTCCTACCAATTAATTGATAATCCTTCAACTTTTCATCCTTATCAACTACCTAGAATATTGCTCTAATAAAAAAAAGCTCATCTATTTTCTGTCGATATTTTATAATACTGCTCAATTTTCATCATTTATGACCATAAATCAAGGTAAAAGTGGTTTAACTACAACTATTTGAAAATTATGCCTGTCATTCTCTTCCTTCTAGTTTGTCATGATATTCTGTTTCTTCTTGTAACAATAATAATAATAATAATAATAATACATTTCTCTCTCTCCCTCTCCATTTCTTACTCTCTAAAACTATAGTGAATAGAGTTAATGATTGTGTCAAATATGAAATGTTGTTTTATTCGATAATATGAATGAATGTTCAAGGTAATTTCATTTATTACTTATACAAATAAACTCTCTTTTGTGATGGTGATTTAACAGAATAGAAAAAACGAAATTTCTTTTAATCGGGGGATTTTCTGTCCTATTTTATTTAAATCATAAAATCCCTGAATAGACGAAAATCGTTTTAAATTTCATGATGAAATCAAACTATTTTGTAAGACGAAAGAGTCAAAATGAATAGTACAATTTTATCGGCTCAAATTGATCTCTATGATATGATCTAATTTACATATTTCAATATAGATATATTTGATCAAATATGTTTTAGAAAATCTGAACATGTTCATTACAAGATATTGAAAATAGTCCAAAAAAAAAACGGGTCAATTTTTATATATTATAAAGAGCCAATTTTCTTACCATCTGTGACTATCAAAAATTCTATCTTTCCACTAAGTTGAACCATTATGTGAATTTAAGTCTCGTGTTCACTGATTTTTGCCAATACTAATGTGCAATAAATATTTTTTTCAACAACAACAAAAAAACTCTGTAAAACATAGTTTTATCTTAAATAAATTATCAAATAAATAAAATCATCATCTATCTACTTGTTCATCATTTGACTATATTATCAAACGTATCCATGAAAACAAGTAGCCATACTCTTTATACATTAACAACAAAACATGTTTTTAATCATTATTATTTTTCATTGTTAAAATAACAATTGAAAATGATATATACACCTTAAAAATGTCGATTATAGATCGATTTTTTTTTTTACAATTATATTTTTCATAAGATCTTTGAGACAACAAATGCAACGATGCATAACTCTATACAATAAAACAAAAAGTAAACTGTTAATTAAATGATATGCTTAAAGCAGAAACAATATTAAATAGTTTTGTTTCTACTCATTAAATGGATATGTGCAACAAAAACGTAAGAATTTATTAAAAATATTTTTATTTATAATACAGACATAACTTTATTCCATACGAGTGTATCGAGTCTAGTTAGACTTTAAAGGTCGAGTCATCTTGTACTAATACATTTATAAAATAAAACATCGACAATTTACAATGATAAATGATGAGTTAATTTGTTTGAGAAAATAAGTCTGTCTACACTATAATTTGCAATAGAAAAATGATGCTTTTGATTTTTTTTGACACGTTGAATTTTTGGTTTTCATTCAACAATGCCGTTTGGATGGCATAGCACACGAACTAAACAAAATTGTAGATTTTTTATATAAATTCAATTAGATCTTCAATTCTAAATAGAAACTAGATTGCAATCGTGCTACACACAAATTTCAATGTCGACAGACTCCCACAATTCTGTAGAGAAAAAATTAGACAATTTTTGACAAACTGTTTTCAGTCAAATCTCATAGGAAGACAGAGAGGGAGAAAGAGAGATATTAAAAAATAATTGTTACTCTCAATCTTAGAACGTAAGATTCGTTTTTACTTCATAACAAATGGCGTCACATAACAAAGATATGAAATTTTCATATCTCTTCAAGTTTTTCGGAGATTTTTTCCTCTTCTGGACCTTATGGCTCTGCATCCAAGTCATTTTTAAAAAAATGAACATTCAATTGTTAATCTACAGCATCCAGAAACTTTCTCACGTTTTCAAATCTTTTCTACATCTCTAGGTCATGCTGTGAACATTTTGCAAAAAAAAATGACTAAACAAAAAAATAAAAAGGCCAAAACTCCTGCAAAAACTCATAATGTCTGTTGACATAATTAGAAAAAAAAGAAGCGTGATAGTCCAATTTCAATCGATTATCTAAACAAAATAACTGAAGAAGTGTGAGTATTGAGTACAAGACCAACTTTTTTATGCCAAGGATTGAACTGTAGAAATGACCTTTGAACAATTTGAATATTATTTAGAATTAGTCAATATTTCTAGAATTTTGTCGATATCTTTAATGAGACGAAGTCTTTAATTTTTTAATTTGTTCATTATGTCATTCAAACAACATTGAACGATGCCGTCTTTCTATCTGTACTGCGAACAAATATATTTTTAACACATTTAAAGAATTCTTACCTTTATATAAAACTCAAACTTATTACGTCGAAGTACTCTAAATAGCATCAATGTTAATTGAGGAGAAGATGATGAAATATAATTTGTCATTGTATAATGAAATAAAAGTTCGTTATAATTGAATATTTCATGATAATAATTTTAATTTTAAATAATCATAATAACAATAAACAAATAAAATAGTTAGGATGAGTAGGAGGAGTCGTACGAAAAGAAAAGAACGAAAGAAAGAAAGACGAAAAAATAAAAATTTGATATCATACACCACACATTTTGACTATACAGTTAGAATAAGAAACGAAAAAGAAAGTGTTCTCTTATCAGCAGTTATTATAGATTTTCTCTTAAAATATAAGTGTGTGCGTGGAAGGTGCACTCACCTGTATAGGTGGCCTTCTTTTTAAGTGAAAAAGAAAAAATATTTGGGTACAATGAACTTTTTTTTTAGAAATTTTATTTATGAGTAATAGATAGTTATTCAAAATATTTCGAAACAACAACATTTGTCTACAAAATAATTAGATCATTTTATAGTCTATTTGAGAACTTCTTTTTTTTTAAACATATATCAGCTGAGTGTCATGAAAATTCTTGAAATAACTTCGCCGTATATCTTATCATTTTTCTTTTTCTGAGTCATACCACACACTCATGTATAAATTACATGAAGTAAAAAAGTCTAAAACTTATGTTTCACTCATTCATTCAGACAAAATAAAGGTAGATTCTATCTATATCTATGAAAGATCTATATACGATGACTTTTTTATCTAATATTAGAAATCATAAATTAAACCAAATATTTTCTCTCTATGAATTGATATTGAAACAAAAAATTTAATTATCCAAGTAATCTTTGAGCAAGGAAGAAATTGTACAACTCTATCATAGGAACGGTGCGCTGGAAATAATTCTTTTGTATACAGAAAAATGCAGAGGTGGGCAAGTCTTAATTCAGATTGATAACCTTTTTTAACCAGACTGTGATTGAACTAAGCCGACTGAGAACCTAATGAACTGAGACTTAAGTGGGACCGATTATTTTCTCAGGCGTCACTGATTTTTCAGATTAGTTCTTCAAGTTTTGCGTTTTAGTGTAAAGAAAAATCATTGGTATAGCTATTTAAAGAAACAGTGTCATTTCGGTAAAAAGATACAAGACAAAACATGTAATCGTATGAGCGATTGAGAAAACATTTCTGGCTAGGACTAATGTTTATAGGACTGAGACTTGACTAGAAATTGCGTACAAATCTCTTGGACTATTTTCCTACACAACAGAGATAACCTATATATCATAAAATGTTACCGACCGGTATTATGTAGCTCAAATTCTAACTATAAGTTTGTATTTAGAAAATATGATCTAACGTCAGTATGATGAACTAACGTATGCAGACAGTTTAGGGCAGATTAATAGGATTCATTTCAAACTTTTCTATCTCCTACACAGTTGCTATGGAAAAATACCTGAATTTGCTTTACTTACTGCACAAAATTTTCCACATGCTTCAATTTGCATACGTTTTTTTAAGCACTGATCCCCATAAATACTTAGAAGTTACTTCTCTTGTCGTATTTTTTCACGTGGATATAGAGGTGGGACAGTTCCAGTTCAGGTCTTTTGAATGGGAACTGGTTACCAGTTCTTTTCAAGAATTCAAAGTAAAATAACTGGTGAAGCTAGTTACATTGACTTTGTTTAGTGCACCGAAGATGGATGGTGCGTTTAATGGAATAAACAAAGTCAATGCATCTAGCTTGACCGGTTTTATCTAATTCCAAATTTTTGAAAATAACTGGCAACCAGTTTGCGTCATTTTGAAAAGAACGTTCAGCTGTTTCCGTTCTTAGTACGAGAACAGCTAGTCGGTTCTTTCCACCGGTTCCCAAGAACTTTAGCAACTGTCCGACTTCTACATGGATATCCTCAACCTAATGCTAAGTGTACTTTTTGGTTGATAAAATTTTGGGATATGTCTGCAAAACTATCGTCATATTCCGATAAAAAAAATTGCTATGCATCGAGAATAATTTGCGTAGGTGAGAAAATAGAAAATGGATGGCGAATGATATGTTACTTTGTAAAAAAAATAGTTCTCTACCGAATCTTTGAAGGTTTATACTTTTGAAACGAATTCGAAACCTTTAAAGGTTCTGTTGAAAAAAGGCTTCGTGGCAAATTCATACATTTTTATTCAGACAAAATGTTCGGTGGTACTCGTTTACCAGGATCTTTTTTTAAAGTTTTTGTGCACTCAAGCATAGATTCAAGAGTCCATTCTAGAATCAAAAGATACGGAATTTCCTGGTGTACAACACATAATAACTTTGATATTTACATAGTATTTTGTTATCTAAAAAATAACAAACAAGGAAGGCAAGTAAAATGAAAACTGCGATGCTGTTAGAAAGAAACCTTGTTTTAGACAATATTCAAGCGCTTTGTAACGCGATAAATAAAAGTCAAGTGAATAGCATATGAATGAAAATGCTCAGCGGTTTCTGGACTATCGATGTGATGAAAATTGCTCGCAAAAGACATACTATGTTGGTCTACAACTTCGTCATTAAGTATGTTCCGTTTTCTTGCTAAGCAGAAAAAGCTGTGAAATCAAGTAACCAAACAGTAACGTATAAGTACAAACGGTATTTGTAGAATAGAAAATTGACTATCGCCTGCACTAATAACAAATCCTTGGGACTTTAATATATACAGTAACTAATACGATATAAATCCTTTTTGCGATGCCAATCATTAACAAAAAAATGATGGGAACAATGTCGTTTTTTCAGTGAGGATGAATTAAATAACGACAAAATTGTTACTCTAATAGGGAGCGAACCGGAGTGTTCTTAAGTAATGAGAAAGGTCAAACACAAGAAAAATTAAAGTCAGTTCTTTCCATCGCAGCTTAAATCTTTACTTGCCTTCATTGTTTGTCATTTTTTAGATAATGAAATATTATGTAAATACCAAAGTTATAGTATGTTGTACACCAGAAAATTCTGTATCTTTTGATCCTAGAATTGACTCTTGAACCTATGGTTCAGTGCCCAAAAAATTAAAAACAGAAGTGTTCCATTTTATCTGGTATACCTGTTAGAAACATAGAAAGGCTAAAGCAACTAAAAAATGAGCATACTAAAGGCTATATAGACAATAACAATGCAAACGAACAGCTGTGTCGCTGTTGTCAGTGCAAAACAAAATGAATGTTGTCAAACAAAGTCTAAACAGGTTTCGTACGTATCTAAATAGGTTTTCTATTTATCTACGAAGCCTTCTTGCATACTCCAAACTACATACGAAACCTTTCCTACTTTCGTAAATTGAGCACAAAATCTTTTGAACTACGAAACTCCTAGAGATTCAGTAAATAAATGCGAAATCATTAAAAGTTCAGAAATGATCCGCGAATCCTTTAAGATATTGTAGGAAACCATTTGTTTTTAGAGACTAGGCATGTGGTACAAAATGGTTTCACATGAGGAAAAAAATTGATTAACTAGTTAATATTAGCAAAGAAGAGGAATAGTTAGTTAAATTATTGAAAATTGCGAATAGATAATTATTCAAATGTTAATTTGCTGATAAAACTCAAGTATTTTATGTTCTTTCGCTTAATTTTCGAAACTAGCGTATCACCAAGCAAAGACCACCTATATCATAGCTCATTTTTTCACCAAATAAACTTGTAACGCAATATCAGCGTTGTACCTTGAATACCACAGAAAAAGCACCTAATCTTCGAGAAATCGAATATCTATCCAGCAGTGAGGTAGCCAGAAAACTTTTGAGCATTCCCACCAACTTTGACATCGTTTAGAATATTTTTTTCTCAATCACGATTTTTTATCACACACAAAAGGTCAAGTTTCATAATAAACAGTCTATGTCAGATGACATTGCTAAAATATAACGTTCCTTTTAGTAATCTTTTGTGTCATAACAAGACTGATGTCTTCTCAAACAAAAGTTCTCCAGTCAAAATATTTATTGTGATTTTTGTCACAGTGTGTCAATGCATTAAATGTCCGAAAATATTTTTTCCAAAATCTAAATGCAAGATAGGATGCAACAAAGATAGGACGAAAGATAGGACAAAGCTTGGTACAGAAAAATGGGCAATGAAAACCTGTACAAAGTGGTATATGACTCGTCCTTAGTAACCGGTTGAGCATGAAGTATCCAGTATTGGCTTTCCTCAGGACTCGTATCCAGTGACATCGAATAGCTTTGATATCGGATGGAACATAGGTAATGGACGACGCTGCATCTTTCAGCAATTGCATTTGTTTTTGAAAACAAACACAAAAGCCGATACTGGTTAGTAGAGAAGTGCAACCCGATCCGTACCCGACCCGAAAGCTGGGTACGGTACGAGGTTGTCGGATACGGGGTCGGATACGCCCCGAGCAGTTACGGGTACAGGTTCTATTTTTTTAACTCACCCGAAAACCGGAAGGTTCTAGTGGAAAATCCACAAAATTTTAGTGAAAAAATACAGGACTTAACTCAAATACATGAAGGTTTAAAAAAGAATTATTTGAGAACGTAATGATAATTTGACATCTCCAGCCGACAACAGAAGTTTCTAGAAAACAAAAACGAGGAAATTTTTAGGCATAAGTCGGGTACGGATACAAAAAGGATACCCGTGCATATCTCTACTGGTTAGGGGCACGCAAAAAAAGTCAAATTTTTTCAGTTTTTTTCACTGGCTTTCGGCATTTTTTTTTTCTCGGGCCCGACTGTACCGAGAAATGTGCATAAACATTTTCTCTACAAACTCGGACAGAAAGTAACTTAGAAACATCGGGGCCTGATTTCGCTTAAATTTGGTCTCCATCCTTTTCTCTGACACATTGCAGTCTATCAACGATAAATTATCAATACTTAAGACGCGTCACGCGTGTGATGTCTAATATTCTAATATTCAAAAGTTTCTCTTGTTTTAGTGTTTCAACACAAAAGGTTATGAAATTTGCGCAAATTGTAGCGCTTTTCAATAACATTCAAATGATGTATAAATGATCTTCGTTGTGCAGTAAAATAGTTCAAATTAATTCAGACTACTGTTGGACAGCTCTTGTAAAATACGGTATGCTCTTAATTTTTCTAGTACATTGAAGAAATAAATGAAATGAAATGAAAATAGAAGATTCGTCAAACTTCAGAAAGTTGTAGAGTGTACTCTCCTTTTGTTCTGTCATATTGATCAGTATTTAAAATAGATATGTAGTTTACCTCTAGACAGATGTCGCCATTAACTTACTCTTGTAAATATTCCTCCAGTGAATAATCCTGATCTTGTTGGCTTGACTAATCGTGATTTATTTCCAATATCATTACTAGTCGTACCACTTTGAGATGGAATATTACTTGTAGAATTTGAATCATCGTCCATACATTGACTTGATAAGCGTTTTGATGATGATGATTTAGCTGAATTCTAAAAAATAAACGAAGCATGCATGAATATATACAGAATATTGGACAAAAATACAGACACAAATTATCTGCATGTAGAGTTGTCAATATTTGGTCATCTCAAAGGTACGATGAAAGTAAATTAGCGCGATTGTATGTCAACAGTCAAAAAAAATAATGACATTGCAATAATTAGGAATTCGATGAGAAAACAGTTCTATAGCTTAAATACAAACACACCGTTAGAAAATGATAAAAAGTTTTTCATATCATGATTGATTATTTATTTATTTATTTATTTATTTATCTGTTACTAAACATATCGTAGTCTCTGCCTATATACTCAACACATGAAAACAGTCAGAGTGAATAAATGTAGATGATGATGTGACAACGATGATGAATAGTTTCTTATTTATTTTTGTAAAGTACAAAGGTTTGCTCTCTAATGAGTATGATTCATTCTATACAAATCATTAAGATGGGAAAAAAAAAAGATTTCTAACAGTTTTTAGGAAAATAAAATAAAAATTTTATTAACTTAATTATTTTCAGAAAAGATAAACTTGCCTAGAGTTGATCGATTTATCGAGGAAAAATAAATTCTAAGAAAATTAATCTTCTACATCTAGACATCTAACTTCATACAACTTTTACGAAATCATTTTTGAAATGAAAAGACTTAATTCTTACTTGTTATGTTAATTATCACGCACCTGACTCATTTTTTAAAACGCTAAACTCTCTATTTTAATGTAACTAGTATAAACATTACTATTCGAAACATTAAGAATAGACAATAGTTGAAAGTGTGCATTAGATGAAAAAAAAACCTATATAACCAACTACGTTTTGAATAAGGTAGGATACCGTCAAAATCTCTATTATTTACCTGATCAATCAATCAATGTAAATTAGCGGCATGAAGTTCAAGGAATACCCTATATCTTTCACTTTATGACAATGATAAAACTGACAAGTGATGAGATTATTATATCTTTTAAACATTTTATTTGGTAAAAAAAAAAGAAGAAGAAGATTAATCATTGTTTGTTTTCTTTTTTAGAAAAAAAACTATGATATACTTTTTTTTTGTTTTACTTCTTGTTTATTGAAAATTATTGTACATAAACAACAACATAGATTAAGGCATACTAAAAATGCAAACAAGCAAATAAAGAGTGAAAGCAAAATTTTCTGACTGACTGCTATATTATTACCGTTCGTAGAAAACAATAACAATTTAGCGGTTAGTTATAATAATATTTTATTTCGTCTTCTTCTACTTCCAAAAGGCAAATGAGGCCAATCATATAGGAAAATAACAAACTTCAGCCAGACAGTAATAAACATTAATTACCTCCTCTGTGTATCGTTTCAAAAAAAAAAAAATACTACTGCGACATTGTTGTCACATCTACCATGTGTTTGTATCTTATAGCGTAAAAAAAGATAATCATTTATTTCTGACTGATTTTTATCTCTTATTATTATATTAAATAACAATAACAACAGGAGAAAGGTATATATACCATGCACAATTCTTGAAAAGTTATTATTTATTATTATTATCAAGGACTAACATTTTTTTTTTTCTTCTTCTCTTGCAATATGTCAAATGAAAGCAGCTCGTTTACATTTAACCTTGCATTAACTTTTCCTTTTATTTAATAATGATAAATATAGGACAATTTTGGACAAAGGCCATGGTAATATAAAGACAAAAAGCGATTGAATCAATCGTACATTACACTCAACCCCTACCTGATTTTGTTTGTGTTCAATTTCTTTTAGAAAAATCTAATATAAAAAAATTTTTTTGAAACAAATTTTTTCTCTCTAGTAATGAACATTAAAAATTAGTTAACGAGTAGTTTATACATTAAAATTGATATATAAAAGGAAATTGTTTATGATTTTCATGCCATCAAAAAAAGATAACAACAATAATAAATATGTATATGGTATTAATAAAAAGTGAAGTATGTTTTCGCTTATATAGATGAGCATTTTAGGTTAAATTTTCAATAGAAAGTACTAGATAAAACAAGTAACAATTATTTATCTTTGTCTGTTAAAATCTAGTTTGTTTTAGTGTTACTCTCTCTAGATAATGTGCGATATATAAGAAAATAGATTTGAGGATGGTATCAACAACGAAGGTCGTTTTTTTTTCTTTTTTGGTATAGTGGATAAACAAAAGAAAAATAGAGAGAAGAGAAAGTGTGAATATAAGATGATCTAGTTCGAGGCGCTTACTATATATGTTTATATCAATGAAGAGCAGGTGTGCCGTTAAAATGACACATACTGGATTTAGAGTATGTACTTAACCATATTACCGTTTCTTATTCATTTTTACTAGATTTAACAACGTATCAGTAGCAATAGAAGAAGAAAAAAAACCGAAATTACAATGACATACCGATTTTAGCTAATGTTTCTGTAATACTTTGTAAAGAATCACAACAAATTCAAAGAAAAAGTAGATTTACAAGACATGTTCTGTCGTCTCATTTTAGACAAGGAAAAATGATTGACTTATGGCTCTATTTTCTCATACATATAAAGTATCAATCTTGTCCTATCGTCTACTTGATTATAACATATTTGTTCATGACATATTCTTCTAAGTCTTATTAGCCTATTTTGTACGTCTACTACTATTATCAGTACATGGTATAACATCAATATGTATGTCATATTCTTATTGAATAAAAACAATCTTTATTAATTTGTATCGTTTTTTACGTTCATCAACTACCGCCGATAGATAATGATTAATGACGATACATTGCACGAGCATGTATATAATAATAGATGATCATATCAATATCAAAAATATGTCAAACAAAATAGTTAAAACTGTTAACATGATATTTTTTTATGTGACGAAACTCAATACTATAGATTGTTGAACTAAAAAATCCTTCAATCTTATACTATACCTGCGAATACATTTGACCTTGCTATATGACAAAAAATCATTAGTAAAAGAGAGGCAAAGAGAGAAGAAAAGAGAATGTCAAAGTTTGACTGATGACAGAGCGCCACATTACAAGATAGTATACAAACACTAATTGATTTGTAATAATATGTTTTAAGTCATTAATAAGGGAAGAGCTAAATAGGATAGCAATGCATTTTACTAAATACATACGGCTGCCAATGGCGTTGATCCCATTGAATTTCGTTTTTCATTTCGTTCTTTAATAGCCGATGATTTTGCAATTGCCGAATTAAATCGTGGATTAATCTTTGTAGATCCATTCCCTTTTTCTAAACAAAAAAAACCCCAAAATAAATCATATAGAGTTATTATAGGAGGGGAAAAATATTTCTTATATAAAAGAGAAACGTTCACAATAGGACTGAAACATATTTCTTAATTGAAGTATAACGTTTTTCAAGCAACAAAGTAAATTAAGGTAGAAAATGAACTGATTGTTGTTAGTTTTTCCAAACACACGAACCATAATGAATCTTTTTTAAATGTCTACTGTTATCAGTCGTTGTTGTACTTGACCATGATGTATTTGCGACATCATTTTGTCTTATTGTTGTTCCGCCTTCATCTCCACTTGAAATTAGTGTCATATCATCACAACTTATACTTTTTTGTTTGTGAATACAAGCAGCCATCATAGATCCTGAAACATTTGTATAATTGTTTATTGTCCAATTTTCATCGGCTGTTGATAAACCATTTTTTCTAACACGTTTTTGATTAAAATTGATTTCTTTTAGTAATGATTCCTCTTCCATTGACGATGTCGATGATGTTAACGATGATGTACCAACTTCTTCTTCTGTCAATGTTGTATTTGTACAATTCCATGTAAATGTAAACGATGTTGTTGTCGATGTTGATGGTGATGAATCAGATTTTTGACTAGTAGGAGATGGAGATGGTATTAATAGTTCGGTATTTGAACATGATTTTCGACGATATTTTAAAACGTCTGTAATACGACAAATTGATAAGCGACGAAGACTATTGCTCGTGGTCACTGGTGGAGCAGAAGCTGGAGGTGAGACAGCTGTTACCGTATCCTCCATTGTCACACAAGAAAAATTATCATTATTATCTAGATGAACAATACGATGATTTTTTTTTTGCCATTTTGATATAATATACGAGTATGAAAATGAAAAAAAAAAAAAGAAGTTTTTATATATTTTTTTTTTTCAATACAATAGGCAAGAGGAAAAAGAGTCAAACTTTTTTTTCCTTCATTGAGCACATGATGTCCAAGTTTGTCAGCGAGGTGGAGCATCACTTTAATGCCAACAGGAACAATCATGAACTCGATCAACTTACTGTATAAATAAAACGTCATAGAAGAAAAGATAAAATGATGCAATACAAACATATACATCATAGATGTATTATAAACTAAAGAGAGAGATGAAGCTTTAAGTACCGTGGCAATATTAAAGTAGATAGATAGAGTATTAGTGCAGAAATAACAACAAAAAAAGCCATTGACAACTCTTGATGATCACGCTAATGGTATTTAATGATATTGGATTACCTTGAACATGATTATACTTAGAGAAAACGAGTCAGCAATACAAGATCGATCGGTATAAGAGAAAAATATTATCAAAGATAAAAGCTTGATATAGAAGTCTGTTGTATAACGAACATCTATAGCAAGTTTATGTATCAAAAGCGAATCTTCTCAACAACAGAATAACGCTCCGTCATGAACAATGCAAAGATATGAAATAAAAATCATGACATATTCACTCTTACTATTAGAAAAGAAAAGAAGTAATTTGTCGCCAAATTCAAACGATTTTCTTTTGTCTATCTATTGATGCTTCATCAGACCTACTACTACATCAAATGCCTACAAGGCATAGAGAGACACATAAAAAAAAAAAGAGAAATTGTTGTGATCAAACGGATTGATTATTATATCTTCTGTTTCGATTGTTACGTAATAAATAATAAGTATGATACATAAATTACTTATTCATTTATTGTTTTTTCAAGTGCAACAATGAATATTCTAAAGTGATTCTTAATTTAATACATGTTCAAAAATTAACACACACAGTTCTTATATTACATCACGAATACGAGAGAAAAAAAAAATTTTCGGATGACAATCAATTAAGAAGATTTTTTTCTATTCTTACCCGTCACAATCAAATCGTTTCCCACTAATAATCGTTTGTTATTTGATTGTAGATCGAGTGATACCGGTGTTTGTGTACCACGTAAACATATCTGACAGCGATCTATGTCCAGTTGATGTTTTTCAAATAATTTTGTTAACAATTCTCTATAACAATAACAAATTCCTCAATAAGCTCTTATCCTTCCACTCTTCAATCGGTAAAAAGGAAGACACCCCGAATAATCTTTTTTATGGATTCAGGAATTAGGTTCTAGTCCTGAACTTTTAAAAGATTCGACAGAGGATAAGGTTCTTTGTAGAACTCTTTTAGTGCATTAACAGGATTGCTCTATGCGCTTTCTAAATCAACGGGGTTTTCTTCATACATAAGTTTCACATAAGAACTCAAAATATAAAGACAGTCTCAACTTCTTCTGGGCTACACCATTATATTGAAACGTATCTGGACTGCCTCAAAAGAAATTTTCCGTTCTATAATACGTTAAGATAGCTAGTTCCTCACAGAACCTTTTCTTCTGGCAAATCTATTAAAGGTTCAGAAATGGAATCCAACTCTTGAATCCTTAAACGGTTCTGCATGGCATCTTTTTTTGTTTAGAGAGTATTTCACATACCGTAGTGTGGAATCGGATAACTTCAATTTTTCTTGAAAACTTTGTCCACGAACATTGAAATAAACGTGAAAATAATCCTGTTATGAAAAATAAATCAATACGATAAGTAGTTAGATTACAAACTAGTCTTTCAAATGTTAATATTAATCTTTTCCTTACTACAGCTAATTACAAAATGTAGACTCGCAGCTTGTATACCTTAGCTTAGGTCTGATAAAAAATTATCTTATTAGCTATCACTATAACTTATAGTGTTCGTACACTCAAGCAAAAATAAGTAAGAGAAAGAATTGAGTTGTAGAAATAGCTATAGCGCTCACTCTTAGCCACATTAAAAATATATTCAAGTAAATAGGTTGAAACTGTGTTCTAGTTGAAAACGGGCGCTACAACTACTGATCAGGGATTTCATTGTCCGATTAATTAACAACAGGCAGCTACACTCAATGGGCCTAGATTCAACCTAGATAAAAGTATCTTTAATTTAATCTGGATTAAGAGCTTCGTTTCATGATCTTTTTTCGTGCTGGAATAGATTAGAAAAAAAAATCACGTGTTTTTATTCGATGCATCGTCATCATCTAATAATAATTCTTCAATATTCACCGATATTTACATCTGTGAATATTCAAATGTAAAAGATTAAAATCGTAGTTAAACAATTGCGCATAGAAGATAGATACATACTGTCTGGGGAATATTTTCCTCTGATAATGCATGTTTTCTTTGGTCAATTAAATTTAAAAAATTAGTTTCCAATGGTATATGGTTGGTTGATGTTGTTGGTAAATTAATTACACTAACACTAAAATGTTTTGGAAGCATAGAGGACTAAAACAAAAAAATATTAAAAATGAGATACACATGTTTATTTCGTAATATTACACAATTTAATAATATACCTCAGTGGATGAGACAACATTTGATCGTCGAGTTCGAAATACATTCACTAATAAATTTCGTGTTTTTTCTCTACAATGAAATTGAAAGATGAAAAGTGACAGGTTTCTATAACAGGATAAATTAAGGCAGAAGTTTTCTCTTATCAAATCTAAGTCAAGTTTAGATATTGTCTAAACGAATTACAAAAGGCTTGTATAGGCACATATTACAACAGAATGTATTTTTCTTATCTTGTAATACAATCAGTGACACAGTTGGAATCGGCAGAACTCCGCTGGATCGGTCTGGATGAAGAGTTTTTAAGTTGTTTTACATATTCTAGTAGAGAAATATTGCAAATTTTTTGAATTTTATTTTTGACAAATTTGACTGAAATTTAGATTGATATTTTTCAACTTACAACTTTATCAATATCTATCAATTTAAAAAAACAACTGAGCTGACTGTGAGTTCAAACTTGTATTCGGGCAAAAAGTCGTTTTTTCTCCGAAGTATAGGACAAATTCAGAATACTTCAGAATAGAAAACAGAAAAATTTGACTAAATCTTTTGATATTGGTGGGCGAACAGTCTAGGTTTTCTTATATTTGTCTCCGAACAGTGTGACTCACTGAGAGCTAAGCAATTTTTTTTTGAAGTTGATAGACGATGTGATCATTGAGAACGATCATGCTGTTCATACATAATGGAGAGCTGGATGTAAATTTCATAATTTGAGTTAATTGAAGAAGTTCCCTCTCATTCTATGAAAAATATAATTTCACACGTAAGTAAGCCTAATTTTACACAGTTCGATTCAGTTAAAAAGAACAACTTTATAGTCAGTCGTGAATTTCTTAAGAAACTTCTCACTTTTTATAAAAAATTGATATTATTTTAAAGTCGTTTTATACATCCTAGTAGGAAAGAATTGAGAAATTGAATCTACATTCGATGTACGTGTAAAGAATGAATGAAACCAGAGTTATCTAGTTTTTAAGACAGAAAAATACAGATCCAACGTCCTGATCACATTCTTACACTGCTTCAGATTCTTTACTCTTTTGAGGTGTTTGTATAAGACAGAAAGCGATTGATTTTTAATGAACGAACTTACGTAGTAGTGAGCGTCGAAAAGAAGTTATCCTCGATCTCGGACAAGCATTCTTGATGATATTTGATGAGAAGGGGAGAAAAATGAAAAATAGATTTGCTGTTTGAGACGTTCTACAGGTGATGTTGATGCAATGATAATAAGGAAAAAAAGACAAACAATAAGGCGATATTTATCAGTCTTTTGGATTATTGATGGTGAACATAGTTTCCTATCACTCTTTTTCTTGCCAGAGCTAAATTTTTTCCGTTGTTTGTACAAATAATCACTTAATCGTCCATGGTATGCGTGTGTGTGTATGTGTGTACTTTATATAACTGTAAATCTCTTTCATTATACGTGAGAAAAAAGAAAGGCATTTTTTACATTCATTCATTCATTCATTCAAACAAAGGCACAACGATAACCATAGAGAGAACCGTACAAGTTACTGTCAGGAAAAGAAGTAAAAAGCTAAAATTTGCCTGTGTTTTCTTTCCTATCAAAGACAACTGCTCATATCATCATTGTGACACTGTCAGAGAATGATTGAGACTAGCGTATGGTGAGAATCATTGCAAATAAATTCTCTTAAAAAGGAAGAAAAGGATGTTTTGTTGAAGGGTCGTAACAATATTTAGCATCATACGACACATCTTTACCATTAGACTCACATTTATCTACTATATCTTCGTTAACGAGCAACAGCATTCTTCTCACAGGATGAATTTGTACATGACAAATGATGGTAAATTCTTTAGCCTACAGTCTCAAAAATAGATCTCAAGGACATGCGGCATATCAGCTGGTAAATATTAATTTTTCATTTTATAATCGATTTGCACAGATCTAAAATCGATGATGCTTGTGCTACTAGTACTATTTATCGATATTCCTACTTCTGATGCTGGTTTTTATTCATTTATCATTTTTTCCGCTAAATCATAACATGTTTTTTCTGACAATGAGATCATTGGACATCAATAACGTCAACAAGTTTTTTTGACAATTATTTTTATGATGAAATGATACACGTCTGGTTTCATTATCATTATTCTTTTGATATGTCTACGTATTCGATTAGTACAAAAAAAAACAGGTTGGCCTCTGAATACTTCTAATACAGAACTGAATTTAAATTTTGTGCACATATGATGCTGCTGGGAAGCTAAATTTTTGCTTATATATTTTCTAGCCTATGTTTCTTCATAAGTTTAGCTATTATGAATCATTTGTATAAAATCCTTGTTTTTTGAATTGGGTCCTTCCGCGCAGGTTTTTGGTGAGGGGGGAACCGAAGTCGGTGAAAATGAACGAAACATTGCATAATTATACATCAAATTGTAGCTCTTGACGAGTTGATTCTAATGGTGAAGGAATTCGGTCTCGATCTAACTTTACATTCGAGTGATACTCAATTTACTTGAAAAATTCCTAAAGTTTTACCTCCATTTTCTCCTAAACGCTCCGAAGATTTTTCGAGGTTTTTTCAAGATAGGAACTACTTTGTAGGATCTGTAACTTTGTCCATACAACTATCCTCGACACTTTCCATTTTTCACCCTCAGCTTTCCAGAAAATCCGTTAAAATCTTACTTCATGAAAAAAAAATTGAGCTATTATAACTCT